AACTTCCAATACATAATTAACATTATTAACATGCGGCTAATTACGAACTGAATATGGACTTCGGCACCAAAATACCCTCGTCCTCACGACCGCAAACGGTGATCGTTGGCCAACTGCCAAACGGGAAAATGTGCGTTATCGGAGTGAACCACGTGACCTTTCCCCCCGCCCGATTTCCCACTCAAAGGAGTAGGGGACAGACGCCACCACCGACGGCGTCACCATCGCCGTGGCCGTGGTAGCCCCGATGACGGAAGCTGGTCGGACGAGTCCTCGGGCGGTGGCGAGGGCGGGCGGGGTCGCCGTAGGGGGCGCCGTCGCCGCCGCCGACGCGACAGCGACGACAGCGGGACATCGCTGGATGACGATGATTACGACGGGGAGGGCGGAGCCCGAGGGCGCCGGAGGCGGAGAAGGAGACACCAGCGATCCGGCAGTTATTCAGACAGTTATTCGGGTTCGGATGTAAGTGAAACTTCACGAAAGGATGAAAAAAAGAGTGTGATTTCGGCTCTTTTAGTGACTTTTTGGCCGTTGTTCCAATGACACGTTTTAGACAGATGGACAGAAAAAACCAGTTGAAATCAAATTTAATTGTTAGTCAGTTAAACGCAATTTACCATTCATTCATGAGTGCTGGAATTGGAATAAAAAATTATGTTTAGCTGCATGGTTTCATTGATTGCTTATTATACAATGATCCAACCGGGCTACAACCCCACTTTCATAGGTTTATCGGTGCGTGTTGCGTGCAGAGATAAGCATTATGAAATTAATTCTTTCGTAAACAGTCCTTAATTTCTCTTTTTCTTTCCCCTTCGTAACAAGGATGGGTCTGGAGATAGGAAGGGGCGTGGCCGCAGGGCAGAGGCACAGAAGACACCGCTACTCAGATGACAGTGACGCAAGCTACTACAGTGATGACGACGACAGCGCCGACAGGCGAGGTCGAAGGAGGAGGGGCAGGAAGGGCGGGGGCAAAAAAAGTGGCGGAGGTGGACGTAGACGACACCGAGGTGGTGGCAGCAACAGCGGAGGCTACGACTCCAGGGACTACTCCAGCAGCGAAGGTAGCACCAACAGCGACCCCGATACCCGCGCCTCGCGCGCTAGACGTAGACACGCACGCGACTCCCAGAGCAAGAACCGGGGCTGGCCATGGCGCCGCGGTTCAGCCGGCGGCCCGTCCCGCAGTGCTGGCTCCTCCTATGACACATCATCCTCCGTACGCTCCAAATCGAGACAAGAAACACGGGGCCGGAGAAAGGGGGCCTCCGGAACCAGAGACGGCAGCGGTAGGCAATGTCCCGAGAGACAACCTGCACTGCATGCCGTCCAACCCCCCTCTCCGCCACTTCCACGCCTGGTTTTCCGTACCCTATTGACAAACTCAAAAATCACAATTTGTCGATTGTCAATTCATCATTTGTCCTACACAGTCTTGTCCCATCGTTTTGTGTTTGCACATTCGCACATACACATCATCGGATCACATACCAGCGTTGCACCTCATTCGTGTAAAAACAAAGATATGAAAGGGAATCCATAACATTGACACTATGATGGTGAAAGGTAAATTAAAGCATCACTTAACTCAGTTTCATTGTGTTGAAAACTGCAAATCACATCCCATTTACTTTGTTGCAGGTTGTCACCTAAAACCTCTTTCTCAAATAAAAACCTGATCTTTACATAGTCTCTACTAGTTATATTAATGTTCATTCTCTTATATACTCTGGCAAACGATGAAACAACCGATACGTGACGTGTTTACAGCAATGTTCAGCATTAGTAGTTGCACCGAACTGACCAGGAAACGCTTAATACGAAGTAACGAAACAGCAAATGATGAGCTAAAGAACTAAATCACAATGACGTTAAATGAAGCTGGCTGCTTCTACCTGAACGCCAACTTCGTCAGTGTTTTCCTTTAACCTTTCATAAAACATCTATACACAAATTAAATTCGACATATTTTACAGAGTCACAGTCTTAAGTAACAAACAGTCTTGCAGTTCTGCTCCTTATGGATGGCTAAACTTATGCTTTGTTGACTGTCCAAAAGTCCTAATTTGTATTGCTTGTGGTAAACACAAAACATTCAAAATAGTGTTGTACGTTAGATTATTTCGTAAAACATCATCAGTGCAGGTTTATCAAATGAATCTCCTTTTTATATCTTGCAGGATCATACTCATCGGGCAGTTCCTATTACAGGTGAGTTTGATATTCTTAAATGTCGATAAACGACCATCTTGCCTTTGCTAATTAAACAATAAAATTGGTATTAATTAGATAAAATTGCTTATAATTGCTATTAATTTAATGATCATGATTTGATGATCCTCATGCTTTCACTGATGTTCACCCTTTCATTAAATAATTGAGAAGAAAATAATATCTTCTGATAACGAATCAAAATAAAATTTCATAATTCCTCTCGACAATCGTTGGATTATTCCAATTACACCCGAAACAATTTGTCATTTATAGATGTGAGTGGGCAAAACAGCACTATGTGTACGTTGCCCGACTGCTCTGTTGAGTTCTTGCAGAATTCTAAAACACATAACAAACTACAAACAGGAGCAATACTTTGTTTTTAATTATTTCACCAGCTCCGACGACTTTTCCTCCTCTGAGTCGCTGCCGGTCAGCTCGGAGGTCAGCGACGCTAGCGACCCCAGCAGCGTGCACTCCAGCGACATCTCCGACATCGACAGCGCTCTGGACGAGGAAGAGCGGCAGCGCGTCAAGGCACAGAAGAAGGCGCGCAAGCTGGAGGAGAAGCGGGCGGCTAAGCAGCAGCAGAAGGTGGAAGCCCGGAAGGCCGCTCGGGAGGTCAAGAGAGAACAGATTAGGCAGGAGAAGAAGGAGCAGAGGCGGGAGAGGAGGAGAGAGAGACGGGGAGACGACGGCGAAGGTCGAAGCAGGGGAAGGGGCAGGGATAGACGGGACAAGAAAAGGTAACTTGGGGATGCCGAATATCGTGAGGTCCATTTATCGACGAGCACATTGGTTATACAAAGACATCTGAATGCCGAATATCGAAGAGTCCATCTATCGACGAACACATTGGTTGCACAAAGACATTAGAATGTCGAACATCGAACATCAAACTACATAAAGTGCATTAGGTTTATTTGACTTTTGAACTTGAAATTAACTACATCATCATTCGTTGCCAGGCGTCATCACACGCCGACCAGTCGCTCGGTGAGCGCCTGCAGTAGCGTCTCTAGTGTTCACAGTGACGAGATCTCGGATGTAGACAGCGCTCTCGTCGGCGAGGAAAGAGAACGCGCTATCGAGGCCAAGAAAACCAAGAAGAAGGCGGAGAAAAGGGTGGTTAAGCAGAAGGAGAAGGTGGAGAAGGTCCAGGAGGAACACAGACAGAAAAGGCGAGAAAAGGAACAAAAAAGGTAAACCAACGATCTTTGTCATAAAGCTTGACTTACACCAAGATCTTCTGAATTAGTTTTTTGTTTCAATTGGCATGATCAGATATGGGTTCTAAATTACATAGAATGGTGCACCGGTGCTTTTTACATACTGTCTTGTAAGGAATGCTATTTTCACCTTCACATTGGTTAACTCTCGCGCAGGATGAAACGCGAGATTGAGCGAGAGATGGAGCGGATGAGCACGCCGAGCGACATCAGCAGCGTACGAAGCAGCGACGTGTCGAGCCTGAGCGATGCCGAAGAGCTGACGGAGGAGCAGCGGGCCCTAAAGAAGGAGGAGAAGAAGCAGAAGAAGAAGGAAGAAAAGAAGAAAGAGAGGAAGATGTTAAAGGCTGTACAAAAGGTCATGGCTAAAAGGTAAAGAAAGTGCTGCCTATTGACTGTCTCATAAACACCGTGTCTGTCGAACAAAGCTTCCTGTGTTTTTGAGGTAAACGGTGCCTTTCCCCATATACGTTTTATGGGTGCGTTGCGTACTTGATGCGCTCATGCGTTTCACTTTTACGGACACAAAAATCGACTCCATGAACATAACACACTTGTGGGTTCCGTTCGGCCGTCAAATCACCCCAGGAGCGATTTTGACAGACACGCATTGCTTGGCCCAAGTGCTGACGCGCATATGGAAAGGCCCCTTTATATGTGAAGTCTGGCTTTCTTTGTAAGGATCAGGTTTTCTCGTATTGTGTCTGAATGCATCTATTGGTCGACAGAGTTTCAAATTTTGACAAATTTCCTGTCTGTTTAAATACCAATCAGTGATACAAAAATGAACAGGCCTACAATAATAGGTCCAAGGGGTGCCAGTATTCAACGCAGTGCCTCCTCCAAAAATGTTATTGCGACATAAACCTGTATTACTGTATTTTAAAAACATTTTTGGGGCAAACGGTGATAATTCTATCAAAAATAGAGATTTTATAAATTTCAGGCACAGTTGTGCTGAAGTGATTTATTTTCCCTACACTAACAAGATTGAAATTAGCATTTATCAAGTCAACCTTCAGACAAAAATCCAACATTATGATTTCACTTTTTGTGATGAATACCGTACTTCAACCACACTTAAACTATCATCAAAAACCTGCACGGAGCCTTTCCAGTTACATATATTCTTTTTAGAAGTAGGAGTTTTATACTTAAAAGGATAGGTTTCTCTTAACTGAACTTCCAATACACCTTTCTCAGGAGAAATCGCAGGGGATCTGGCTCTTCCGACGATTCCTATGCTAGAGGGAAGCAGGATTTCTACGACCTCCCACCGGAAGTGCAAAAAACAATGGTGAAATACTCAAAGGGCAGTAAACGCCGTTTCTTGGAGGAAGAAGGGATGCAGTGGCTAGAGTAAGTCAAACACACGAAATATGAGTGGATTGTAAACCTTTTTATAATTTACTTCTGGCATCACGTTAAAATAACCTGACCCTTCACTAAGAACCATGGAGGAATGGTTGAACGTTCTTGACGCTTACCAAGCAGGACAGCACAGTTATTCTGAATCCTTTTTTTTGCGGTGAGACAAAAGCCTAATTCTTTGAGATATTAAAAGTGTGTCCAGGGTTCTTTGTGATGTATTGAGCATCTGATTTTTTTCAGCGACTGGAAAAATAAAAAGGAACGTGAAAAAAGAAAACGGGAAAGAAAGAAAAACAAGAAGGAAAAGGAAGAATTTACAGGTACGTCGAAAAGACGAGAGTGCTGTAATACCTAGTACTTCAGTTATTGTAGATATTGAACGATGTCCAGGGAAATTCGTACCGATGGTCGAAATAACTTCAAATTTCGTGCCGTTAAAGAATTATTTTATCGCCATCACTATCGTAAAAGCGGTAGCGTCTCTAGTGGGTAGGCTTCCCTCTGGAGACTTGACCATTTGAAACGGTTTTACGACTCTGTTTGGGATTATAGAAATGGAGAGTAAATATAGAATAAATGCACCCATTCTGCATTTAACTCAAAGTATATAATTAAAGTTTCAATGATAATGAACTACTGCACGAGCTCGATAATCATATCAGATGAAGGGTTCAGTTTATCTTGCTGGGCTTCAGTCAGCGTAATCCAATCGCAACCGTAACAGGCGAGACGGTAGAATTGCGGGCGCCCGACGGCCGGGTCATACGTGTGCCCAAGACCAGCATGTACGACGTGTGGAAGCAGGCCCGGAAAATCCGGCTAAAGAAGGACGGCACGGTGGCCCGCGACAGCGACTCGGACGCTGAGTCCATCGAGCTGGACTCAGAGGGCAACATGGTCAACCAGCCCAAGACTGTAGAGCTGAAGGACCCCAGCTACTATGTCAAGTGGGAGGGGTTCGCCGAGACTCCCGAACCGCCTGCCACGCCCACACAGGGCGGCAAGATCAAGTGTAAGTACTGAAGAGATTTAGATAATTGCTGCAATCTTAACTGCCATAGAACCACCTCCTGTGGTCAAACCTGACCTATCCTTAGCGGTCCAAGCTTAACATTCACAAACCTGATAATCTATTCCATCCAATACAGGCTAACCCTTTAGTAACAGCCTACTAACCAGCCAAACGGACGTAACATGTAACCCAAATCAAACCTCACTCAACCAAGCCCAATAACACCCCAGCCCAGCCAAGCCCAGCCAAGCGTAAACAAGCCCAATCCAACTCAGCCCAACCAAGCCCAGCCAAGCCCAACCCAGCTCAGGCAAACTCAATCTATAGCCAATCCCCGCCCAACCCCAACCAAACCAGCCCAACCGAAGCCAACCCTGTACGGCCTAGCCCATTTCAAACCAATCCCAGCCTAACCCAATCAAAGCAACCTAACCTTGCCAAATCTTACAATACCAACAGTTCATACTTGAAACGATAATCAACCGGTAAAGCAGTTGATTGTTTTGCAAAGGGCAACATGATGAATGCAATTCTTGGGATGGTCACTGAAATTTGGAACCAGAACTTGAAAGCAGTGGTTCGCCAAAGTGATTCCAGCTGAGCATTGTTTAAAATTTATTTTTTGAATTTTTTTTCATAACAATGTGCCCTCTGTATCCAGTCCAAGGCGTGCGTAAGGTACAACATGCTTTTCGTAAGGACAAGGGTTTCTTGGCTGATCATCTGCGAAAGGTCCTGGACACTGCCTCGGAGCTAAGTGACCCTAAGCCGGGAGAACGTGGAGATGCTATCGGTGGCCGTGACAGGGGTAACATGTTAAAATGGGGGATCCGTGATATAAGTCCAGGTTTTTTTCTCTGTAGAAAGAGGCCAGGGACTCATAGAAGGGACTCAAAACATTTCTATCGAGTCACATACTTTAATTAGACTACATCTGCGGTGTATTAGGTTTCAGACTTTGCCATGCGGTGAAATTAAATCAAACAAGGGGTTATGTGGTAAACCTTACGTTCGACAAACTGGCAGAGACGACTATAGCCAAGGACGCTTACTGTATTATAATACTCCAAAATCTCAAGTACGCTAGTTTTTGAAATTAATCACTTCATACTAAATAGCCGTGAAGAGTTTTCGAATTTGATTCCTGGCCTATTATTCTGTCTGGACATTGTTGACAACGGACCTGATTTTCGAAAGAGTACATTATCTTGACGATATCTACTTGGCAGGTGCTTGGGAGTCTGTTGATTTTATCAGCCATTTCCGACTGGTGGAGAGTTACAAGTTGGATCCACTAGGCAGGGCGTTTGTGGTTGAAGACGAGGACTACGACTGCTCCCTGAATGGCCAGGTCGGTTAACAGCAAAGTTGACATTTTGATATCAACCTTGGATACCTTTGATTTTTTCTTAAGCCGCCAAAAATGGCTATTGTTCTCGTCTTTAATACACTTTTCACTTCACTATTCTGGTTCATAGTTTGAAACTGCATGATTGATGATCTCTATTTTGTGAGGCATCATTCACGAGATTGTCTTCCTAGATCGTGTCCCTCCAATCTATTTTATTGTTACTTGGAATGTTTCAAACGTTTTTCAGTTACCGGGGTTCATCTTAATTTAAACATATGTTTATTGCATCTTCAATCTGAGATCTGTTAAAAGATTTAAAGTCATTGCTATGCTTTTGAATCAATATAGCTAGATTATCAATAAGATTTCTCCTTGTCATTTTTTCACAGGAGATGCGTTCTGCTATAGAGGGCGTACCTTTTCTTTCATCAATCAAGCCAAAGCAACTGGAATACGTACTCAAAGTAATATAAAAACCTATCTGTTCTTTTTTTAGCAGCCTTCAAAAGCATTCTGAATTAAGTAACGATCAGTATAATATACAACTTCCATTCCCTTAGCTTTTCCCACATTTCGTGTCACATAAGAAGGAATTTTAAGGATGTTTGTTTCGGTTATTGAACCATTTGCCATTTGCGTCTTCAGGTACTGAACATCGATGACCATAGCGCTGTTAGCTTCAAGATGTTTGCTGTTGTGGCAGGGGTGTGCGAGAGAATGTGCAACATGGAGTAAGTATGGAAACCAAAGTATTTGCTTTTTGTTGTATTCTTATTAAAAATGTTAGTGTTTGAAGATGCTTTAATTAAGAAGATTGAAAGGATTGTTTGTCGGATCTTTCATCCAGCTCCTTCGGCAAGTACATTTTGGACAAAACTGACCTGCTGGATATTGCCCGCAAGATGGCGCTGTACAAGGTAAGCATACTTCAGTCGAGCAGTTAATTATGTTTTTCATCAGCCATGGTACTTTTCGTTGAATTATTTGAAATATATGAAAGATAATCGAATATTTTCTGATCCTAAGAGACAAGACCTGGAAGTTTTGATATGAATGGAACAAGCTGGTTGTAATTTAATTATCTTCCTAATGATAACATTAATTCAGATTACACGATACAGACACTTGGCCCCAATTTAGTCCAAACCAGGAAGAAGGCTGCACGGGAAAAGAAAGTATGGAAGAGTGTGGTGCGCGTAATTAATGTGGCATACCAGTTACCTATATTTTTAGACTTTGTGCTTGTTTCATTTAAAAGTAATCATACCTTTAGGCCTATATTAAATCTCCTACCCCATGGAGATAAACCCTCAAGTTTTAGGGTTCTTGAAACTTACACATTTATCCATCATTTTAAAGTGAACATTACAAAGACTCTTTGTGATCTGTCTTTGGTAGTCTATTTTCTATTGCAACGTGAACTCTGAGCGAAGCGAGAACCACATCACCGCGGAGTCCCTGCGGATCGAGCTGATGGCAGGTGGGCTGAACAGGGAACAAGAACGGTACATCATGTCCAAGATGAATCCTAATGAATATGGAGAGGTGCGTGCCAAGAGAAAACTAATGGGATACTGAGGAATAAAGCTGAAAACAGGGCTACTACGGACTCACTCTCCGCTCATGTCTGCATGCTACATGCGTAAACTTTGCTCAGTGGGAGTCTACTTCTAATATATATTTATATTATTTTTTATTATTATTTATATAAAAAGAATTTTAATTCCTTGAATGGTATAATATCGAACACTATGACGGATTTTTAGTTCAAATCAAAGCAGAGGATTGGGTTACCTTTCTCCGTACGCAGGTTAATTTTCTGCACTCTGGTTGGTCAGAGCACTAGACTTTGTAGTATGGATAAGACCATAAGTCCACGTGGCTGGGACGGCTTTAAGCTTATATTTTTAAAGTAGGTTTCTTGAATACCAGCATAGAAAAAAATCACCTACATGTTGAACTGATCTGATCTACCAAACTGCGCAACCATCGTATCGGACATGTGTAAACCAAGCTTGTTAACATCATGCCAGGTTCACTTAGAAAGTCGATATTTTGACCCGCGCTGTTGAGAATATCAACTGGCTACATCCAGGCAAATTATTTTCAAAACATCTGAGTCCAAGTTAAATCTATACAAATGAGTCTGAAAGTATTGCGTTTGTGCCTAAATTAGCTGGGACGGAATTCTTACATTTTCCCCTGTATCGTCGATGTGTATTTTGTTTTAAACTGCTCCCAATTTTCACAAGAAACAGCGACATACCGTTCTTGCAGAATTGGCCATTTTTCCAAAATGTGAACTTTTGTTCTTCGCACATGAGCTCACTTCACGGGCCGACACTCTCAAGGTGCCTGTACAGGATTTAAAATTTAAAAAAAGACTTGTAAAAAAGCCCGATTCAAAAAGTCTTGTTTAGACAAATTCAGTCCATTCGGGGTGAAAGGTGCAGTTAAAAGTGTTGTAGTTATCGTTTCTTACTCCTGGCTTCAGATTTCCTTCTTTGACTACATGGCCTACATCCCACTCTTCCTCTCCATGCACGAGAACATTATCAACAACCCGCTAGACCGGCAAGAGAAGTACACCAGGCTGGACCGGGCCGAGGTCCAGCGGGACATGAACCCACTGGGCCTGCCATTGCAGCGCACGTACCTTAACGCCCCGAAGGAGATCTTCCCATCTGGCATCCCGGTGATGCGGATGGGCGAGGACAGGGCACCAGCCCCGGTAAGGGAATTCATCGAGAGGGGAGAACTGCTGGACGGTGCCCCGGTGGGAGGGAAGACCGGAAGGTATAGTTAATGTAATCTGGCACTTAACATTTTTCAGTCGTTTCAGTGAATGACATATCGATTTTTAATTGAAGAAAGCTTTTCGTTGTAAAAATATTGCACCTTGAAAAAGAATATGGATATACTCCCCAAATTTTATTTCAGAACAAATATTATACATCATAGTTTAGCTAACAGGAAACTACATATTTTTGAAGAAATTTCACTGATATTTATTGGAATAATGCTTTTGTAAATTGTCTTTCCCAAACGCACTTTCTGTGATGGTTCAAAAAGTTTAAAATTTATAAAATTAAATAAATTGAAAAGAAAATTTGTCTTTCTCTATTTTTCCAGACTGCCAAGCATCATTCAGAAGTCTTCGAGTCCAATGAGCGCCAAGAGGGGTGGACGGGGCAAAAACGTCTCCATGTCCCTACCCTGACGTTCCCACAGAAACCAAAACACGGTCTTTGAAACCATACTGAAATTCTAACCTCGTAGATCTCTTCAACAGCTGCAGACACTGACAGAAGACAGATTTGAATGAACTTGAAGGGGACGGGTGGTCTTAACTCTTAAAATGACGAGGTTGAAAAGATGAATTTTCCATAATTGAAATTTAAGAAATCGGTGGTCAACAACAGACTTGCTTAATACATGACTACAGATCCGCTGGGGAAGTACCAATCCGGAATCTTCTAAGATCTTCACGTCAAGGTTTATGGTTACTTTTCTTTGCAAACGTTGCCGTGGAATCGAAAAGCAAAACCCTAAAAACGATGACAAATCGCTCCAATTATGCCAGAATAAGAAAGCGTTGCTATTTAGATTTAGTTTAAAGATAGCTCTGGGCCTTGAAATTGACGAAAGCTACGCATCTAGTCTACGCAGTTGTGTTAAACAAGAACTCTTTTTCAAAACCTTGGCACTTCGTTTTTTATTGAGTAGATTTTGAATAGCACGTATCGAAAAGGTCTTGAACCCAATATTTCCTGTTTGCGTGGTCACTTTCCATTGAGTACTATGTCAAATCAATTTCCAAATCGTCATTTTGTTATCTGGATAATGCCGATCAATACATCTCAGTTAAAAAGGTAATGTGGTTTTTAAGGCTTTTAACATTTTGAAGAAAAACATTTGAGGTGCAACGTTTTACTTTTTGTGCAATAGCCTTCAATACAAATGCGTGTCTTGCTCGATTGAACCAAGTGCAGTGTTACATTGTGTGCCGTTAAAGAAACGTTTTTAACTTTGATTTTGTTCCAGTGTAAACGGAGATAATTGTAGCCCGTTTGGTATTTCTCAAAGATTAAAAATGAGACAAACGGGGATTAGCTTGCTATGTAAAAAGTAAGGACCGTTTCGAATGATTTCGTAATAAAAGACAAAAATACGTGCAGTCGTAAAATCTAAGAAATGCCTCTTTGTTGAATGGTCTCATGTTTATCGATGGTTAACTGCACTAAAGCTCCGCGATTTTCGCAAACTGCGCAAATTTAATGCCCCCCTAATCTTTTAGCATTACGAGCTTTCTAGCGAGACGTGCCAAGGAATATCTTTACGGGAAGTTATAAGATTTAGGCTTTGCAATTGAAGACTCGCTCCCTTCAGTAATTTTCCATTTATCTACGCATTATTGGTCCCGATGCCGTGCAAAGATGGCTTCATATATTACAGCATAACAGACCTGAAAATTGTCCAGATCTTGCAATCCTGGTGGCATCTGATAGGGCGAATGTTCCACTATCCATTGATGTTAGTTTCATATCAATATTTGTTATAGTTAGGAAAACATCTAAGAAAGAAGGTCAATTTCTTGTCCTACTGCTTCTGTAATTTTCCATATATTTACGCATTATCGGTCCTGTTCCCGTGCAAAGATGGCTTCATATATTATATCATAAAAGACCTGCAAATTGTCCAAATCTTGCATTCCTGGTTTCATCTGACAGAACAGATGTTCCCCTATCCATTGATATAAGTTGCATTTCTTTATTGTTTTCAGTTAGGAAAACATCTTTGGTGCAAAGGTGGCTTCATATATTACCGCACAAAAGACCTAGAAATTGTCCATATTTTGCAATACTGGTGGCATCAGAAAGGGCGAATATCCCTCTATCAACTTTTACAAGTTTCATATCCATATTTGTTTTAGTTAGGAAAATATCTTAAATATGACCCGAAAATTGTTCAAATCTGGCAGTCTCGGTGGCAGCTGATATAAGTTTCATATTCATATTTGCTTTAGTTGGGGATATTGGTCAAAGAAGGCGAAAATTTTAGTCCGGCAATTTTACATTCATTCAGCGTTTATTAGTCCTGTTTGCGCCCAAAAACGTTTACAAAATATTGGATCAATAATGACAAGAAAATTGTTCAAACCTGGCAATCTCGGTGGCATCTGATGTAAGTTTCATATTCATACTTGCTTTAGTTCTACATTCATTCACCGTTTATCGGTCCTGCTCCCGCTCAAAAATGTCCGCATATATTGGATCATAAATGACAAGAAAATTGTTTAAATCTGGCAATCCAAATGGAAGGATTTTTAAAATTATAGATCGGCTATTTTAGTTTGTTCTTGAGAATTGCAGTGTTTTATGAACATATTACTGATGAATGGGTGGCATATAGCTTGACGCTTCGCAGTGTCTAGCATTTCTTGATTTTTGTGCGAGCTGAAGCAAGTGAGAGTCTATGCAATATCGATTTCCGTCCTCAAATGTTTAAGTTGTTCCTTGCCTGTCCATAGGTGTTAAATTGTGTCATTGAGTGCTTGTTTGCTTCCACTGGGAATCCCAGCAATATTTAAATAGTCTAATAGGGCATTAATGCTTAGAAACCTATGAATTCAATTGGCGTAATGGTTGGGCTGCATTAATGGAATGATGGGACAACCAGAGTAAGAAGTGAAGAGAATGATGGGCAGGGGTGGAGTAGGAGATGGATTGGATGGTGCGGAGGGGCGGAGTAGGAGATGGTAGGATGATGGGGAGCGGGCAGAGTATAGGAGATGGATATGATGATGGGAATGGACGGATGAGGGATGGAGTCAAAGTAGACATGGTAGATATGGGATGATGGGATATGGATGATGGGGGTAGAATTGTAGGTCGTTGGTGGTCCGTTGATTTACTTTAAACGACTGGCGCCTTACAACACACAGTCTGCACACAGCACTAACAGGATTTTTCTCCTAGAGTACAATGAATTTTCTTGTTAAGGTCGATAAAACAGCTTGTACATCTGTATTGCAGTCATATGTCAACCAATCTTGTAAAAAAATGAAGCTTGGTCAGTATTTGGTTAGTTCAATTTAGTTACCATGTTTGTATAACTTGGATGTCTCTTAGTGGATATCATCCTATCCATCTCAAATTCATAACAAGCAGCGAGCCATGGCGGCTTTGCCGTTCTAGTTAGAGTCCAATAGCTTGAAAACAAAATCATACCAGCATAATTGGAACCTGGCTTGAAACCCAAAAATCTTTATGCATGACCGAAAAAGATTGTTTTATGAAACAGAGAAAATGGACAAAAATAAGTATAATGTTTGTGACAGCGTTTGAGCTGTCTGGCAACAGAAAAAGGAATACCAAGGGATAATTAATTCCCTAATCCTTAAAGGAGTGGCGTCGTTATGTAGGTATAGCGTGGTTCTTGATGAGTTTATTACGCTTGCTGTATATAGTCATGCAGTGCTACAGTGTAATTCGACAAATATATTAAGAAGGCATTACTTCAGGGGCACAACGGTGGTGGAGAAGTGAGAAGTGTACCTGTCATTCCTTGGGCGATTTTGACGGCCAAACGCAACGCACACGTGTGTTGCGTTAATGTTTGTGTACGTAAAAGTACAACGCATAAACACATCGGGTGCGCACTCACAAAATGTACATATGGAAGGGTGCCTTTGCATTCCTCTTCCACCAATAGAGTGTTGTGATTTGCCTAGTGCACGAACATGCCAAACTGAAGAATATGCGTGTGACTGCCTTGCTGCCACATTTCCGCCGTCTAATCAGATTAGTCAAAACTATGATAACATTTTCTCTGTTTACTCTTTTTAGATTTTTTTATATCAAAAAGATATCGATGCTTTACGGTGGTGGCAATGAACTACACAAGGAGATAAATTTAGCAATGTACAGAGTGTACGTGGGTGTTGCCATTGGTTGTTTTCCAGCGTTGAAATAATTTATCTCAGAGAGAGTTAAAATCTCGGAATGTACTAATTGAGATGGTCGTCAAGAATAGACCATTCGATACACAGTCAATAACACACCAGAGGAAAATGAAAGTGTGTGCTAATAACGTTCACGAGGCAAAGAACTGATCGGCTGTAATTAGAGTAATATCAAGTTATTCATATAAATATGGTTGAGTACAAAAGTGTATTTGCTTTGTTGTTTTGCTGTCATTTTTGCCATCCTTAGAAGTATGTTACAGGCTCAGTAATTTTAGTTTATGCTTCATTAAAAATCCCCCTCTCAACAGCCCAGATGCGAAAGTAAATCAATAATTGCAAGTGTCAACATCAAAGTGTTGTTTTGTTTTCTTTTGTTTTACATTTGTATTTTTTCCCGGCTGGTTTTTCCTTTCTTTTCTTGTCCCCTGTGCTGCTCCGTTCCTTTCTTCGTCAAGTGAAAGGTTATATGTTTTGAATTGGGAGCAACTTCAAGTCTCAAAACGAGTTTATCATTTCATATACCGAATGCAAGATGGAATTAAATTAAGATTCACCATAAAGGGTTCACTGCCTTAGGTTTTAGCTGGGCTCCCACCAATAACCTTGTAAGATTTTGGCAGATGCAAATATCTGAGTTATAGACCTACAAATCGAATATCAAAGCGTAATGATGATTCTATTTGTTGATACGGGCTATTCACAATAGTACGCCACCAAGATTTTGCAACACGTTGGCTAATCATAACGCGCAAAATTTGTCGACCTTTTCTAAACGCACATTGGGTCGACAAATTTTGCGCACTGTTATTGACCAACGCGTTGCAAACTCTTGGTGGCGCACTATTGTGAAACGGCCGTATTGTGAAAGGTCATAATATCGGGTATACAAGTCATCATATTTTTAGCCCTCTACAAGTAGAAAAAATCTGTGTTACATCTCTCACTGTGTGAAAACATCACTTCTTTTATAAAACGGATCATTATCAAAAATTTTCCCCCACGGTGCTGCTGCTGTGAGGTCATATA